AATTTTTTTCCCGGTGCCCCGACCATCGCACCGGTCCATGTGACCAACTCCATGGCCTCCAGTACCTCTACCAATACCTTGCGGTACGCTATGCTAGTTGAGAAGGAGAAGATGTATACGAACCGACGGTCCTACCCTTCTTTGGGCGATTTGTTACACAGTGATAAGAAGCCCCTCTTCCTTCCTATGTTTGTGGGCGGAGTCGGTGTTAGCGTAGCAAACGGTTCTCTGTGGTGTTAGTTACTATATCTGTGTTGTGTGGGGCGAGTTATTTTTGTTTTTATTTCCTCTGTTTAATTTCTCACAAATGGGTCGGTTGTCAGGGCCTCGCCTGCCCTGGTCCTCCCCCGGGGGTTCCCCTGCCGCTCGCTGCGTTGAAAACTGACACGTTTCCGCGCAGCAGAGCGGTGAGGGTTTCGGCGATGATGAAATCATACGCCGTGGTGATGGTGAGGCGGTGGTCTTGGTTTCCCAGGACACGCCGCAGCCACCATCGACTGGTTGGGTGGATCGCCCCGTTTGTCAGCATGACAAAGGGCTCGAAGTCCAGCCCATTGCCGAGCGCCCAGTGCCTGTATTTTTGGCGCTTCTGGGTGAGGCGCTCCCGTGCCGCCCGCATGGGGTCACAGTCCTCCAGCGTCTCCTCCGCCTTGGGCGTGGTGACCCGTCCCGGGTACGTGACCGTGACATCCGTGACCGCGTAGGTGTCCAGTCCTACCACGAGTATGTCCGGGCGGCGGCGACTGACCTCCGTGAGTCGTGGCTCCAGGCCACATTGGAACCCACAGAGCCGCAGTCCATTGGCGAATGCCATGTTGATCATGTCATGGCGCGTGGTCCGCGGGTTTTGGTGCAGCCGTGAGCACGTGTGGACGTGGTCGTTGGACGCGTCTGCCCCACACACGCATTGCTGACCCTCCGGCAGGACTCGCAACAGCATCCTCTCGCGCAGGTAAGTGGCGAAGCCGCGGTCGTCTGCGTGGACTTGTGGGTCGGTGAGGGGCCTGCCCGCACCCGGGGCCGTGTTGGCGACGAACACCTTGCGATCAGGACCTTGCAGGTTATTAAAAAGGTCGCGTTGGCGTTCGTCCTCCAGTTCGGCCGTCAGGGCGCGTTGCTTGCCCTTCTCGCCGAGGCACGCGTAGGCAAATTCCGCGATGTCTCGCTGGCGTCGGAGGCCGCATCCTCCCCGGCGTACCGGGAGGGCGGCGATGTCGCGCGCCCGTTTCGTGACGGGGCCATCAATGAGGGTGCTGAGGACCCCCGTCACCCGGACGTCGAACCACTCCGCGGCGTCCCGTGTGTGGCGGGGGTCATGTGTGCGCAGTAGGAAGGTCAGGCGCGGGAGTGCCGACACCGCCAGGAGGCGCCACTGCGTGCACTTCGCAAACGGGAGCTCCACGATTGCCCGGAACAGGCGGTTGGTCTCCTCCGTCTTGCGCTGGACGTACTCCGTGATGAGCGGGCTCTCTGGCTCGTTTGCGATCCCGGCGCCGAGGACGCGTGCAAACGGGAGCGGTTGCACTGCCATGTCTACCGGGCCCTTGGTACTCAGGACCTCGGTCTTGTCCTCGTTCGTCTCGATGCCCAGGGCCAACATGGCGCGCGCAGTCGCGTCGCACGCCTGTCGCAGGATGCCCGGAGGGGCCGCCACTGTCACGTCATCGAGGTAGGCCGTGAACTCCGCCGCTGGGAAACTCTGCTGCAGGCGGCGCAGCGCCGCCAGTGTGCCAATGGAGAACAGCACCGGCCCCAGGACCATCCCTTGCCGCACCCCTCTGGTGGACCTCCATGCGTGGCGCATCTCGCCATTCTCATAGAAGCCCACCACTCCAGCCGTGCCGAGGAGTAGCCGACTCACCCGCCACAGCGGGCTCCAGGCCGCGTCGTTGTAGGTGGCCTGGAGGATAGCCGTCCGGCTGATGGCGTTGTATGCGTTCCTTCCGTCCAGCATGGCTACACTGCCCTTCATCAGGAAGTCGCGGCGTATTTTTTCGATGGCCAGCTCGATGTTGTTGCCGACCCCGTACTGGAGGTTCTTGAACCGCGCTTTGAGGGCCGGCATGGCCACGGTGACCGCCATGAGGGAGATCGCCTTCGCCCAGACACATTCCGCTCCGATCGGGCGGAACTTTTTGTTTGGCTTGCGGAGCACGGTGAGGCTTGTCGCCCGCAACCGATGGGCCACCTCCGGCGCGACGTAGCCGTTGGCCATATCCGTCAAGACAGCCGTCATTT